ATGCAATGCACAAAACAGTGAGAATGTCCATGATGAAATGCACAAAACAGTGAGAATGTCTCATGATGCAATGCACAAAACAATGTGAATGTCCCATGATTCAATGCACAAAACAATGAGAATGTCCTATGATGCAATGCACAAAACTGAGAATATCCCATGATGCAATGCACAAAACAGTGAGAATGTCTCATGATGCAATGCACAAAACAGGGAGAATGTCCCATGATGCAATGCACAAAACAGTGAGAATTTTCCATGATGCAATGCACAAAACAATGAGAATGTCCCATGATGCAATGCACAAAACAGTGAGACAATTCCCATGATGCAATTCACAGAAAAAAATCGTATGTTTTCATATTTCAGACACTGAAAGTTAGCAAGTTAGTGCAGCCTGTGTGAGCATATGATTATATTAAGTCAGGTATTCAAGTTTGATCTTTAAATTGGACATGAATTAGTGAAAAGTTGGAAAAGATGATAATGATGGTGTATACTGAGTGGTTCATCTATGATGTTTTTTTACAGTGAGTTGAGTGGTTCCCTGGAAACAATATCCAGCACATCATCCAAGGGAAAAGATGACCATGAAAAACAGAGAAAGAAAGAAGAGCAAGCAAAAAAGAAGCAGGAGGAGAAGGAGCGCAAAGAAAAAGAGAGAAAAGAAAAAGAAGAAAAAGATAGACTGAGAAAAGAGCAGTTGGAGCAAAAGAAAAAAGAGAAAGAAGAGGAGAAAAAGAAGAAAGATGAGGAGAAACGGAAGAAAGAAGAGGAGAAAAAGATGAAGAAGTTTTTCAATGTAAGATTTATTTAAATGATGTTAATGATCTAATTAGGACTTGCTTAACTCTGATAAGAATTCTTTTTTGAATAATTTTTATATTTATAGTAATAATAATAATTTTATTAATTGTATAATGGCCTCCGGCCCATTACAATCATGCAAATTAATTATTGACAAGAAATAAATTTATATTACAAAATATGTATGAAAATATAGATGAAGGGTATGTCAATAGATAATATAAGCCCTATATAATAATGTGATAGGGATATTAATATATACATACAAGCTTATTAGGTTCTTCTCATTTGATCTTTGATTAAAAAACACTTATAAATAAATAGAGCCAAAGAGTTAATGATTTGGCTTTTAGAGGAACTTAATAGTTGTACTAGAGTATTCAAATTTGGGGGTAATATGTGTTATAGAAAATAAATATAAATTTAGCAATTTGCACCCACTCACTTCATCACTGACGTAGTTTCATTATTGAGATCACTGTTTTTAAGCCAGGTGCCCTTGAAAAGCCCATGTCTTGTGACCTGGCAGAAATCCTCATTTGTTGTGTTGTGTTTTATTTGTCATTAAAATCCAAAATGTCTCTTTAATTGAGATTTCATGTAGTCTTTTATAATATCTCCTGTATGTTGTTAAGTTATAGCATTAATGAGTTTCCATTTGGATGAATACTAACATGGCAAACTGTTATTGCAGTTAAAAGGAAGTGAATCTCCGGTAAAACAGGGTACTGCTATCAACAGTTACTCTGGCAAGGAAGAGTCACATGACCTCGCTTTCATAAAAGGCGAGTTATTGTATATCATACGATTTGAAGGAAACCCTGAGGGAAAATGGTTGGCCAAAAACAAGGAAGGAAAATGTGAGTTTTATTTACTCCTGACCTAATGATATTTAACCCTTCTCTTCTTTATTTACCATTTAACAATACATGATTGATATATATTATTGTTTGTCTTGATATCACAAATTATAACATTCATTGAAGAAAAATTAGTGTTGGTTAACTGTAACCAAACTATTCATAAGTAACCCATAATGTTTCCATGAGATCAATTGAAATAAACATTTGAACCTCAGCTCATTGAATTGATAACTGTGTTATTTTAACCCAAATTTATGTTGACATCAACAAAAAACTTGTGTGTCAGGTCACCTAGAAGTGATTTTCCAAATGTTTCATTTGCCTAAACAATGCATATTAATAGTGGTATGATTTGACCCTGATTCAAATAATTTCAAGAAAAATTATAGACTTTAATAAAATAACCATCTGTTAATAAGTAACCTGTCATTGTTTCATGGTAAGCAGTTACAAAGTTTATTGAAACACTTAAAATTCCTCAGAAGGTATTAAAATGGTTACACTAACTAATTGAACACATATTAAAAACATACAAATTTTACACAAATTACTATCTAAAGCACGAAAATGATTTAAAAAAAAAATACTATTGAAAAAAACTGGTGATAAAAAGAAAAAAAAGTAAGTAATATGAATAAAAAAAACATGGAAAAGGGATGAAACAAAAATTATTAAAGGAAAAAAATATTTATATTAATTTTCCAGAAGGTGTTGTTGACTTGTGGTAGCTGTTAGTTGATTAGTAGCAACAGATACAGTAGTTGATTAGTGGTACCGTAAAATTTGTATTAGAAGCCGCATCCCTAATATAATTCGCACCCATTCTATTTGAATAATTGAGAATAAAAAAATCATCATTTCTCATATGTGTAGATGCTCTAATAGAAGCCGCATCCCCTCTGTTGCATTGTACCATTTTAATAGAAGCCGCGGCTTCTAATACAGATTTTACAGTAGTAGTAAATGCTAGTTGATCAGTCAAAACCCATAGTTTATTAGTGGTAACCAGTAATTGGTGAGTGGTCTTGTTTTATATATATAGTTAAACCCACAATTGATGGATCCAGTAAATCTTCACTTTATTGTCAAGTTCAATGCCTTTTAATATATATGTTGTCTCCTGTTATTGTCTTCAGATGGTTATGTTGAAATAACAGACGTTTACTGTGATGGCGATGGTGATGACGTCTATGATGAAGCGATGTCAAATGAAATTCCAGAAGAAAGTGATGGTGAAGGTAAAGAATTTTTTAATATTTATTTGTAAATTATACATGGTATGTTACAGTTTTTGAAAGTATTCTTTGTTCTGATTACTTGACTATTATATCAAATATTTTGGATCACTATAAGCTCTGTAGTCTTTGTATGATTTATGTTAGAATTTATTATAAATTTTATATTTTACATGCCAGTTGTCAGCTAGCCAAACAGTACTCTCATTTTGGGCATGTTTCTTGTCGGCTTTTGTTCGCCATAAATCTCTCTCAAATATTTCTCCCACTCCATTCCTTCAAATCATCACTCGTTTGTCTCTGCAGCCTCCCCCTTCCTCTTGCTCCTTCAACCAGACTATCTATGATCATTGCATTTAGCCCTCTTTTCTTATTTGATGGCTATAAAATGTCATTTTCCATCTCTTAACCATATCAACCACTGTCTCCATTTCCTATCCACCCAATCGTTCCCTGACCAAATACAGCACTTCTTCTCTTTCCATGAAATATCCATCAACCATCTGTAAACCTTCATCTCAAATGTTGCCAGTTTCTCCTCACTTATCTCGCTCAATGTCCAGCTTTCGCATCCATATAAGAGTGTCGAATTAACTATCGCTCTGAGCAATTCAAGTTTATTTACCATTTTTAAGCTTTTAGCTTTCCAAATTGTGTTCTTATGAACAACATGCTGTAATTTCCAATCTCAATACCCCCTTTTTTTTAACAGGTGTTACTGAAGAAGTGTACGAATGCGTTGATTTATAAGCAAAGCAATGTGAAGACGAAGATATTACACATAACCTTTGACCTTCTGTAATTACCTGTATCATATCAGGTTAAAATGCAGCATACGTGCATGATACAAGTAATGTTGTATTTATATATACAAATTTATTAGCTACTGCACTGTTTTTAAATCCATATTTTAAATTGAGAGTCAAAATGTATATTTTTGAACATTTTGATATGTGATAAAAAACACGTAGAAACATGGCGCACCAATTCAGTCGTATTTACAGCATAGATGCATGTTCAGAATTGTTTAAACTAACAGATGTCATTCTTATTATTTTGCTTTTTTTTTTCAATGAAAGCAAATAAGCATTTTTTATATTATTATTAGCTACCGGTATATTTTGTTTTTTACTAACCATATTTTTTACCTTAGCCACTGCTATTTTATTCATATATATGTATGTATAAATTTACATATTGAAGTTTTTGGTGAATGGGATTAAGTGGTCTAGTTTTGGAGCTCGTAATAAACATCCTTTGCCAAAGTTTTAATTCTCTTTTAAATTCACATTGGTGAAAAGAATACAAGAACAAGGTTGTATACTGCCCTCTACAGGCATGGAGATGTATGACTACAGAGGGCGCTATGTATTTTTGTACTATGCGACTATCGGTAATCTTATCAATATAAAATAGCAATCTCTAGTTAGTTATTTATCTGTAAAAATACTATTAAATAGATTTCAATGAAGAGTCGGGTACACAGCTATCATGGTTATGTTCATTTATTACAACTTATGCAAATATATTGCAAGTGTTTGAATGAACTGCATACATATATTCACAAAAAAAAATCCATGCACTGCATTTTACTAGAACCTCACGTAAGCCAAAAATTGTCTGGATCATTGGCGATCCACTCCGCTGGTATTGACCTTAAAATCCCTTTTGTGTCTGTGCGTGTGGTTTTCTGTGTATTAACTCTTCTGTGAACTTTTTTGCTTGGTTGAAATCGTTCAAACTTGGCAGGCAGGTCACACCTTCACTCTAGTTAGCCGGGAAAATCTGAAAAAAATCCTGGTCCACCATTGCCCACATAGCAAAAAAACTGATTTTTGATTACCTTTTTGATAAACTTCAGACATAGCTCATTCTACTCAGCTTGAGTTTGGGCACAAAGTTACTATTTGATTTTTGATATTTGTTTTCATTACCGAGAAATTTGAATGAATGAATATTTATTATAGAAAACTAAGCACAACATACCGTGGATGGACGACACAGTAACTAAAATTTAGTAAATGTGTCAAGGTAAAAAAAGATATTATTGCGAAAATAAAAAGTTTGTCTTTTATCAAAAGGGTCAACTTGCATGAATATAATATGGATAACAGCAAAAGACGTGATAGTAATATAGTGAATTGACTTCTGAAGACTGATTTCTTTTTGCGAGCTTCGTCTATGGGGCCTCAGTATTAATTATAAACGTTTGCTTCACGTACATGTCCTACCATGGCAACAACGGAAACAATTTTATATTTTTGAGCGGAGTGGATCGCCGGTCAGCCTACCGGCTTGTTCAAATATGACTTTCTAAGACATATCTTTGTCATTTACGTAACCACTTGCAGCGCTAATGAAGCAAATATGGTACTAATAATTAAGAATGCTTCTAAACTGCTGTCTTTATTTAACATTTACTATTACTTGTACAATTATTTACTCTACATTGTACAGTCTGTAAATGAGCTCTCTTCTAATGTCACAAATTTATTTGGGGTTGAAGCCTAATGAAAAAGTTGGTCATAAATCACATGTTTACTGGTTCCTTGTGTGCAATCATGGACTGTATTGGCCATAAATTATTCAAAAATTTGTATTAATTCTATAGAACGTATTATAGACCTAGAGTGCAATTACTTCAGAAAAGGATAAGAAATCTGGATTACCAGTACATGTGTAATGAGCAGGATTGCACCTTCAGCAAGTATGAGCCAGTAAATGGCGCTATACACCCCACTTGTGAGAAATTCGCATCCCATTCATTTATTTGTTTATATATTCTCAATGCATGTTCCAATAATGCAACACATGTTCTCACTGCTTTAACGGTGTCCCTGCAAACTTGCATTGAGATTTAATTTACATGATTAGGATTTACAACAATTATTTTGGACATTTAACACAACTATTGTATATTTTTTAACAAAACATTCATATAATGTAATCAAGAATACATTAGTATCTTTTTGAAAGGATTTCTTTGTTATTCACTTGTATGACTATTCAGTGGAATTAATTGATCTTATTATAAGGTTAATTCATGTCAAGAATGATTAAAATTAATTCAGTGTAATTACATTTGAATTTTATTAAAACATAATTAGTGGTTATTTACATCTGGTTGCACGTTATATGCTTCTATACTTTGTTATTGTCTAGATATTACTTTCAAAGCTCAGTTCTTAATTACTTTTATTTGTTAGTTGATTCCGCTTTTGAAAATCATTTCTAGATACGATAATTTTATTATCGGCTGGTGTGATAAAGTTGTGTCATGCCTAGTATTTCTTCAGACAAATCAAGATTTAATGATAATGGTTCTGTTTTTGTTAAATTTGTATATTTGTGTTTATTTCAGTGTCGTGATGTATTTATATATTTTTGTTTGTGTTTCATGCTTCATAAAATATATTTGCATCAATGTCATTTTGATTCTGACGTACACACATAGGGCAGTCCTTTATGTTACAAAGAAAGAAAGTTGTAATTGACAACAAAATTCCGGCTTGCTTTCATTTTCTACACCTCTTACTGCATTCCTAATTCTGATTTTATTTTAATGTTGACAGTTTTGTCAGAGATGCATTCCATTCTTACCAATTATCTCAAAATCGTAACTAATATCACAAAATAACATTCAAATTTTAATATACTAGTAATCCTTGTCACTCCTTTAACACATGTGAATGACCACCTGCTCATATATCATCCATTTGAGCTATAGCTAATACAACAACCAAAACACTATTGCTGTTGTCCTGCAAAGACTTTGTCCGAGAGCTAATATGAGGGCAGTATATCCCCTATCACTTTGCAATCATAATTGCTGTGAGTAATCATGGTAGGGGGTATTTTGATTAGCATAAAACATACAAATTTCATGTGTAAATATTGTTATAACAATCACCTGTTTTTTTTAGACATGTAGCAATTCTGTTAATGGTTTTCCCAGATTTTAAAGTCAGGGATTTTATGCAAAGTTAGGGGGTCTTGATAGTTCTTGGTTCTTCCATGGTGATTTGGCCTATCATGAGCACCACTAAAAAAATGTTTTCTTTCTGATGACAGTATACAGTTTTAATGTATGGCACTGCCTCTTCCCTACATGTTTCTGGTTGGCTACCTCGGTAACTTCAATAATAAATCAATTTCACTTATTTAAACATTTGAAATTAATTAGCTGGGTTTTATTGCTGTTTATTTTGGTAACTAAAAACACTTAATATGTGAAGAAGATTTTTGTGTGTGCAAAACTGTGAATTTAAAAATTTGCAAGTATCACTGCAATATCAAATTCATTAAAATTAAACCCAGGGAATATTATTTGTGTTAGAGTATGCTCATTGCATTGTGCGCAGTTATTAAACATATGTATATGGTTTGTATAAAAATATGCACTACCTATATATGTAAATAATGCACAACGCTTGGACACATGTGCATGGATAGTGCAGAGATACATGCAGGATGTGAAGTTTTTTTTGGGGTGGCATCTTTAAAAAGTGCCATTGCCAAGTTGTGGGATGTTTGTATATGATCAGTTGGGAGAGGATGTTACTTACCCGTATGTAGAAAAATGTAGAAATTCATAAATATATTACCCATATATATGTATTCAAACAATTTTTAATATTTTTGTACAGTACAATTTATTCTGATACATGGTGGTTTTACTAGTACTGTACTTGCAGATTTGTATTTTCAACCATTTTGTCTGTATTTCAGGATTTGTTAATTTTTGTTTTAGTTTCATTTTAATAGTTATACGCATTCGAAAAATAGGATGGAGATAGGGGTTGTGAGAGGAAAGCAAACAAAGGATTACAATAACAATAATTAAAAACAAAGACAAATAGGACAATATTTTGTCATGTAGGTGTGAAAAGAAAATGCAGAGAACCAAATAGATTTAGTGATTCAGATGAGATGTTTTCAAGATCCTTAGCTGTGTACATTACACCCAGAATTATTTGAATTGAATTTTATCGATGAGGGCGTAACTAGAGAGCATCTCTGGCACTCCCTCTCAAACTGTGGCATGGATATTGTCTTAATGTTCATGATAAGTGCGACATTTGACAGTAATTTGTATTGCTTGTGTTGTATGACTTACTAAGATATAATTGAGTTTCTATAAATTTGACAATTTAATCATTCTACAATAATTATATAATCATTATTTTTCATTTCAGTTAATTTTTTCTAATTGAATGCAAAAATACTGTAAGGTGCTTTATTTTCACTTTGAATTTATTTTCGATTTTCTTCTCTAAAGGGATAAATCAGTGAAAATAAAATCCAGCGTAAATACTTTTTCCCTATATTTTACATTCAACCCATCAAAAATCAGTGAAAATAAACTTCATAAAAAACAGCAAAATCAGTGAAAATTAATTCCAGGTAAAATAAAGTATTTTCAGTAAAGAATGTGTTTGGTTGAAAAGCAAATGACGAAGACATATGTCATTGAGCAGTAATAACTAATTTCTAATAAATATATTAAGAATAATGAATTAGTATTTGGTAATAATTAAAATAAGCATAATATAGATTTTGAAGTTTAAACAGAATATCCATATATTTCTATGGAATAATCCAGTATTAGTAAAAATTAAGAAAAACCCATGGGAAATGCATCACATGGTTATTGATTTCTTCTGTCACTCATACAGAATGTGTCAGTCAGGACACAGGGGAATGGGAATTAACCATATTCCTATCCTTAGGGGGGTGATCAACCCCCCCTGAGGGGCATGCATATAATCTGTTATTAAAAGCACTAATGATGTCTCCAGTGGAAAGAATTGTGTCAAAACATACATTTATGTTTGGTTGTTCCCATGGGAACTAAGCATGCGGTGAAGTTCTTATAACTAATTTGTTGTTGATTGTGCTCAACTCTTTTTATTCTATGTAATAATAAAGTCAATTTAAAAATAATACATTCATAATGAAGTATATTATTATTTATGTGTGCATTTTGGATTCCCATGTGTGAAGTACGCTGATATCTCACTGAATGTCTTGTGAATTGATGAAAGTATTTTGATGCATAGATATTTTGAATTACCGTAAAATCTGTATTAGAAGCTGCATCCCTAATAGAAGTTGC